GAGATGCTTAAAAACACTTAATGCCTTAAGCATATAAACAATACCAACAAACAGGTCAAAGACTTCTCCATTTAATAAAGCACTTGCCATATGTAAAGTGGAGCGTTTTAATGAAGCTAATGCACATGTGCTTTTTGCAGATGGGTGTGAGTCACCCTGCGGATCAGCCTCTGGCACTTCAGTGGAAAAACTCACTTATACAGTATGTTTATCAGTTTAGGAGTATAAATTATGCAGAAGTGTTCTCATTCTGTGGTTCAGGACTGAAAAAGTGTTTTCTGAATAGTGAGTAGAGGACCAGACCCCTGAGAGTTCAGAGGGGCTGCGGTTCTGGAGGGCTCTGGATAGGGCTTTATCCATCAAAAAATAAAAAATAAAAAATAAAAAAGCAGAGCAAACATGCAATAATAAAACTGCCAAGGGCATTACAAGATACATTCGATTAATATGCTGCGTAATGCAAACATTCAATTTTTCTTTGGATTTTAAGTGGGTAATCTTTATTTTGTTAAATATTTTCTGCTTTTGCAGTTTAATGTGCGGACACAGCTTTAAGTAAGCTAAAGCTAACCACAAGTTAGAGTGTGGTTGTGGTGCTTTCGAAAAGCCTGGTACATAAATTTCTGGCTCAACCAATGGCGTGAGTTTGGGGCAGGACTAGCTGAAAGAATCTTTATTTCTGCAATTCCATTTGACGTCACAGGTGGTGTAGAATGACATATGATGAAACGGAAATAGCGACAGATCTTTTCTTCTGTATTGTGACTTACATCCAAGAAAAAAAACATATTATCGAAAATGAAAAAAAAAAAAAAATGAGGGTGGGGACTTGGTTCTATCTATTGTTTGTTGATTAGATGGAGGTGGGGTTTAAGCAAACTAGATGATTGGAGAAGTCTGGAATATCAAAGAGGAGACTGTCAATTGCATGATCGCAAGATCGAGCTATGATGTTTTGATTAAAAATTTCAAAAACTTAAAAAATGAAACATGCATGGATGAATCATTCTCAATATGATCTTTTAGAAAACAAAATGTAACTTTTTAAAAAAACATTCCTGTTCTTATTGTGTATGATTCATTAATTTGTTATTCCAAAGAAAAATGCCTTTGTAATCTTTCATCCAAATCAAAATTAATTGAAATTAGTTTCCTATTCCAGTGACATCATGTAGACAGTAGTCTATTTTAATATATTATTAACCAATCACAAAAAGCTATTCAGAGAATATCATACAGAACTCTCATTCAGGTCTTTTGCAGTAGCGCAAATCCAATCCAACCAATTCTCAATGGGTAGGTGCTGCACTTTTTTTCCTATTGAATAACAATTTAAGTTGAAAATACATCACATTATGCAAGTAAAATCTGTTACGAATGTGGTTTCATGTTGACAGCTGGGAGTCAGCATGTTTATGAAATATTATTAAAGTTAAGTATGGCCAATTGATTTGATTTAGTATGCCTTTAGCTCAAACTGTAGAGCATGGCGCTACCAATGCCAAGGTCATAGGTTCAACAACCCAGGGAATGCATGAACTAATGAAATGTTTACTTTGAATGCTTAAAAGCATATGCCAAATGCATAAATGTAGTGAATTAGCAAAGGAGTTGTGCTACCAAACTGTACTCAACAGGAACATTAAATTTGATCATTTATTCAACTTAGCTCACCATCAGTATTCATGCTGTGTGGCAGCATTTTTTCAAGCTCTCCTGACCCTTCATTAATTCCTCCTTCCCCCATTTCTCTCTCGCTCTCTTTCTCAGAAACACCTTCATAATGAACGAACAATAGTCAATAGTATCTGAAACCAAGCCAAGAAAGGCTAATTCTCCCTAAGACCCCTTATACTGACAGAAATAACACAACACACTGATCTCTTGGGAATAATTCAGATTCAAAATAAACCCCAACAAGCCTGCGGAGAAGTAAGATGACTTGAGAATGCTTTAAAACGATTGTTTTGTAGAGGATGTGCATGTTGTCATGCTCATTTTATCGCATTACAGCACGCTTGAGCACATCAAACACACACATGCATAATGCAAACACATCCATGCATTGCTCAAGTGGCACTGGGACTCTCTTTTCTCATGCTGCTTCACATGAACACTGGCATTCACAGTCAGCTGTCTTCAAAAGGAAGACTCCTTTAGGTATTCTTAAAATCAGTTCTTCTCTTCTCAGTTATATCTGTCAGTGAGTTCAACATGTTAAGAGGTCCTGCACTGTAAGCTACTGTATAAAAACAGTTTCATTTTACTAACAAATGTAAGTACATTTCCTTAAATTCAAATCAACATTCAAATCAAAACTAACAGAAATCCACGTGTTCTTCACATCACACATCCTTCCATCCTAAGGCTAAAAAGCCATTTTTAGCGCTAACAAGTTCAGACACTGATCTATTTTGTCCCTGTCATAGCTCAGAGAATGACTTCTGCATATTAATGTGCTATACATTTCTGTTTAAAGTCAGTGTGATCACGTAGGCATAATGTAATTTATATTTAATTTTCATGCTTGAATTTTCTAAAAATATTAATTAACACTCAGAATAGAGGAAAAAAAGTCTAAAGCCATCTGCCAAAGAAAACTAAAATAATATCTGCCACCATTAACTGATTATGTCAATATTTTAGGTACAAGCAGACAGAATAATCAGCAAAGGCTTTAAAATAGAAACTGGTTATATTTGTATTAAGATTATGAATGTCACATCAAACTAGCTGTGCATTTAAGTGCGTTTATTAACTTGAATGCCTGCTTGGGTCTCTATAAACCAGGCTGAATGAGTTAAACTGGTTCTACTGACCATAATAATGACATCACAAACATATCACACCCAGTAGACGAAACACACATCACAAGTGAATTGCTCTCTCCTGTTCACATGCACAAACAAAAACACGTAAGAATACCCTGCAGGGGAGGTTAGGTAGAGTAATGGTCACTCAGGCAGCTATAACTATCACAGTAAGGGTTGTATGTCACTGGCAAGGCATTTAATGTGATCCTACAATGGGAAAGAGCACAAAAACACGCACACACACATACATGAACAATGGCCATGGATAGCTAGTCACTAGGCTACACTAAAGCTGAGACATCTGTCAGCTGAGCTGCCCTTCCATCCATCGTAATCTCCAACCAAAGGACGTCAAACACCTCTCAGTACCAATCAAGGGAAGTTTTACAGTCAAACCTAGTGTAAAATCATTCTGAAAAAGCATTTTATTTGGTTTTATCACAAAAAAAGCCTTAGAGGAAATGCTTGCTTCACAATTTTGTTCTACCACATTTGTATGGATCCAAACTGATAGTTGTGTCAAAAAAAAGAGACAAATTTTATCAGCAATTTTTTACTTTTACCTCTAAAGGAAAGTTTGAATGCACTCTAGTCTTATTTTTCTCAGGAGCCATTATGTCAATGCCAGCTGGACATTCTTGTGAGTTCTTCTTTGTAACAGGCTTCACTTTTCAACACACATGTACACATAATGGCATGTAAATGGACCACATATTTTATTTCACATTTTATTGGACCACAGAGTTGATAGTACAGAGAGCATTAGCGCATATGGATAATCTTGCTCCTCTAAAAGTACATCAGCAGCTGGATCAGTACAGAAATTTCTCCAATAGCAAACTGTGAACCTTAATGTCTGTGAAATTGTTATGCAAAAATGTGTCATACATTGAATGTTAATATATAAGAAATGGCCTGTGTGAAAGCATAATCACAGATGGGATCTTTGTATCCCAGTTGGTTCTTCATCGTTTAAAAAGATAAAATAAAATATGAATATATTATGAAAAAAATATTTATTTTAAATAAATATTAATTAAAGAACTTTCTCTAAACATAAATTATAAATGTTGCCTTGGCAATTAACTGAAAATAAGCTGAAGTACTTTGAAAATTGAAATAAAACTAAATTCAAGCTAAAAATGAAATAAATAAATAAATAAAAACTTCTAAAAATGCCAAAAAGCACATTACAAAATTACAAGAATTAAGCTATACTGTTAAAATGAAAACTAAAAATACAAAAAGCTCATTTAAAATATTAATACATACTATATTAGCACTTAATTAGAACTTAATTGTCTTGAACTATAAAAAGATCAACCAACAATAAATGAAATTTCCCTCTTGGGAACCATCAATGCTAATTAAAATAGTTACAGACATTTAAAGCACATCAACAGCTGTATTTTAATTATGTCTACAAAACAATATTATAATGAGTGTCACCTGTCATGCCCCCAATTGTGCTGTTATGTTGTCATTATTACATTATTTATGGCTGCCTGCTTGGATGATTACAATGACTGTAACTGTAACATCATGTCACTATAATAGGGTGCAGCATTTAAGTCAATAAATGGTGAAAAACAAAATGGTTTTATTCCAGAATACATCAGATGATCAGTTGCTGGATCATTAAGATGTATCACACATCTTTAGTCTGCAGACAGTTCCTATCATAGCGAAGAGACAGGACGCCACTGTGATACCAAAAACACTCATCAGGATTTGAAACATAAATTCAATATGAAGCCATCCATTTAAAATCTAAATGTTTTCCCCTCTGTGACTCGGATCAATGCAAAGTACAGATTGCAAAGCACACCGATCACACATGTCACAGGAGACAGCTAACATACTTGTGCTTACACACACACACACACACACACCTAGGTGCACATCTATACATTCCTCAGCACACAAGCACTGTTGTTTTACATAAGCACTGAAATCCTGGCGGGTGTTTGTGATCATGTCCGTTCACTCGTATGTGTGTTTGTGCATGCATGTGTCAGTGATGCCCAGCTGACTGAAAGGGAGAGGCCAGACACTGCAGTGAATTATTCATTACAGACAGTCGGCATACGAGATGGATGGAGAGGTAAACGAACAGAATGAAAGCCATGGTGACACGAAGGAGAATGAATGAGGGATAAAGGGTGAACTCCCCGACGCCGTACTCACGTTGAGTTCTCGCAGCTGACAGAAATAGAGGGGTGAAAAAATAAAAAGAAAGATACAGACAGGTCTCAGCGAAGCATCCAAGCACAGACCCATCCAGCCTTACAGCCCCTCATCCCAAAGAAGATACAGTGAGATTAAAGGAGCAAATCCAGAAAGCAGGAAAGACAAGCAGACAGGAGAGAAGCAGCAGCAGGGCGTGAGCAAGCGAGGGTGTATAATGTTTGTGTGAGAGAAGGGAGCGAGACTCTGATGAGGAAGGAAGGGAAGAGTAGATAGTGGAAGGGTATTGGCTGAAGGGAAGGGAGGTAGGGATGTGCTCAGCCAATGCTCTGAGTGAAGGTGCAAGGCAACAGGAAAATGGCAGAGAGAGAACACATCCTTTAGATACAGAGGATTCTCTTTTACTCTCTAAGTGTTGCCACTGTAACACATACACTGCAAAAAAAACAACAAAAAAAAAACATTATTTTTGTTTTGTAAATATCTAAACATACTTAAAGTCAACATGAATCTGAAATGTATTTTGTTAATGCATGTTTCTGATCTTACTGTGAATAATGCATTGTTACATGTTATTCCAAAGAAGTGTTTATCTTTTAATATTCAATTAAATGTAATGACTTCTCCCTCTGAAACAACTTTCATTTTCTGCTGATGTCACTTGGGCTGCACAGGCTATTGGATAATGATCACCGATAGCCGAATGGCTAATTAGACATTTAAGCAAACCGAACATTTGATCTGACACATCCAGTTTTTATGATTACATTTCGGATGGAACATTTCTTTTCACTCGGAAATAGAGGTCTAATACAGTAGGATTTAATAAGCCGATTTGGTGCTCAACAAACATTTGTTATTATTATCAGTGCTGAAAACAGTTGTGCTGATTAATATTTTTGTGGAAACCATGATTTTTAGGAATTTGTGATGAATAGAAAGGTTAAAAGAACAGCATTTATTTGGAATAGAAATCGTTTGTAACATTAAAAAAGTCTTCACTTTCACCCCTGTTGAATAAAAGTATTAAGCATTTCTTTAAAAAAATCTTCAAATGCTTTTAGCATAACACATTCAAAATTGTATGTAACTTATGTATGTCATTTATGAAGTAATATATTTATGCATAAAAACTTCTAAATGGGCAATAAAAATAAAATGAATCCTAATTAAATTATCTATAAAAAAAAGAATAACAATAGTCAAGTTTTATTCTTAATGTAGAAGTCTTTACATAGGATGTTTAGATATTTTTACTGGAAAACAAAACAAAAATACTAAATACTGATTAACAAAAACTGCAGTGAACAGCAGAACATACACATAGAAAACAAACACACACACACACACGAATAGATATCACATGCTCGTGATCTCAAAGAGAAAGTCCTCAAGAGTTCAAATCTGAGAGGCAAAAAAGAAAACCAATTTCTCTCCTGTGTGATGTCCTGTCCTGTTTTTTTCTGCAGGCACATGGGCATTCCAAGCCCTTTTGTTCGGTTTCTCGGTACACTGTAAGGGGGAGGGCTTGTTTGTATTCACAATCAGGGGAAATGAGGGGAAAAGAAGAGGTAGTAGGAAACAAAGAGAAAAATCAAGGGGACAAGATAATGACTGGGTAACTGCATGAGAGCTAATGAAGATTAATGACTACAGAGGCAAAGAGAGAAAGAGACTGGCTACCACTGTAGATATTCACTACACAGGACATAAAGACCCAGCTGAGCAGAATGGAAAAACAATAGTGCTGAAATTGCAGCTTGGGCAACACGAGTCACTTAAGTCACACCAGTCTTCCAAGACAAGCTAAAAATATCCTTTATGTCAACCTAAGGAGAAAAACACATGGTGACATCTTAGGACTACCATGTCACAACCCTTTGAACTAGAATCCCCAACATCTAGTGACAAATTGAGTTCAATTCATCATTAAGTACCAACCTAAGGGTTTGAATAGGCGGAGACAAACTGCTGGGGGCATGGCTTAATTTGATAAAAGCAACAGCTGCATCCATGCTAAAGGGGGTGGGCCAGGCCTGATCTCATTCCTTGATTTGATTGCATGAGAGTGATGTTACCATGGAGACAGCATCAAGTGCAGCAGAACCCAGATGGCAGGCTGCCTTGTTCCCCCTCCTCCTCAGTGTTGCCAGACGTACGATAATTATCGTATTTGTACGATCATTTTGACCTCTGTACGATGTACGATCAACAATGAAAAAAATCCCATAATGTACGATAATTTCATAATTTTATGACAATTCAAATGATGGTAGTTGTAGTCATAGGGCTTCTACATTCATACACGAAATCGGCTCATTACAGACACTCTAAATGAGCTCGTGCACACCTCAGAGTGTGTTAAGAATGCAGGAGGGTGCCCTGCTTTAAAGCCAACGAGCACTATGTTGTGGTCCGGACGGCAAGAACCCCCTCAACATCTGGCAACATGCAGGCTTCCGATGACAGCGGCTCAGATATGAAGTTAACAGCTAAAGTCTGTCTACACTGGACGCGACAAAGCGAGTGTTAAAAATAATTTTAATACGTCATAAATAGAACGAGGCATCAGTTTACTGTCGGGGATGTGTCGTGTCGTGTCGCATCCAGTGCAAACAGTCACTGATTATAATGGTTTCTATAGTATTTTGTCACACTGCTCGTCCAATGTAAACATTCCTATTTCACGCCTAGTTATCTATTGTGGTAATTTGCAGGTCGTGTCAAAAAGTTGTTGGTTTAGATAAATAGCTGTATTCTGTACGTTTGACTCGTGTACGATAATTTTCTTCCAAATACGATAATTTTGAGCTTCTGGTACGATACTTGGACATTTCCAATCTGGCAACACTGCTCCTCCTCCTCATCCCTCTCTTTCTCTCTCTCTTTCCTCAGCAGCCTGGAGTAGATTCATACAGGAAGAGTACAGACCTGCAGGACCCATATTGTAAATTGCATGTGACTGCAACACAAAGCCAGCACTGAGCACTGTGTGAGAGTGTGTATTTGTGCTCTATTAGTGGTATGAAGGCAGAACTCGTCGGGAAGCCTGAGGCTGGTGATGCCATCACATGTGATGCTGCCGATTTTATTTTTATGAACGAATTTCATTTTCACCATATCTCAATTGATATATTGTGTTTGATAGCATTCTGTGGTGGAAATGACATTGCAAATATATTGATTTATTTTCACACATTACATGTCTTAAATTTTATGTCTCCATGGTAACCAAGTATACTAACTTTCGAAGAAATTTTGTTATTGGAAATTGTTGGTGGAAATGACAGCAATTTGCATAAGAATTAAAAAATTATAATTTTTAAACTATAAATAATAAAAGTGTTCATGATTATTTGAATCATTGATTATCAGTTTAAAATGAAATAATATTTTATGATGGATTTTCATAGTTTAAGATTGTGGTTAAGAAAGTATTAAGATCTAAAACTAGGTGCTGTAGGTAGAAGAAAATCTATAAATAAATATAATTTGAAAGTAGAATAAATAAACGATGAAGGCATAATAAAATGTTTTCACGTTTTATAACAGAAAAAAAACGTTGAAATCAACCCGAGACATAAAAGTGCCCATACTTAAAGAAAAACCCATTCATGTAAAAAACTAATATTTATATTTGTGCACCACAAACATATTCTAAAACCTTTTCCTTTCTTTTTTTCTCATCAAGCATCTAGAGTAGTGGTTCTTAACAAGTGGACCAGGGCCCCATTAGGGGTCCTCAGCAAAACTCCAGGGGGCCCCAAAAAGCCTTAAAATAATTTACATTATATATATATTTACATAATCTTCATTAAAATGCTAATATAAGACACTAAAAATAAACATGTACAATATTAAACTGACATCATATTTTGAATTTATTTTTATTTTGAAAAGAAGTACCAGAGGTACATATCAACTTAGATATGAGGGCCTTCAAATACTGTCCTGGACAAAAGGGGGCCTTTGGAGTCAAAAAGGTTAATAACCACTGATGTAAAGCTTAGATAACAAACCGCTTACATGTCTGATGTCTGTGATACACATCAGCATTTATCAGGGTCTTTTATTATATTCAGTATCCTCATATATGCAAACAGGGAATAACATTGCTTAATTACTTAATAACTGCCTGGTATGAATGAACTTTAATATTCACTAGAGTTAAAAAGAGGTTTAACTCCCAGCTGCCACTGTCTGCACTAATGAGTGCATTGTATTGAGAATAAACCACAGGGATTAAAAACCATAAAGCTCAGTTCTTAATCAACTAAGGTACAAAGTTCACCTACAACAGTCCTGCTGCACATTATTTTCTCAGCTACATGTGTAGGTAGAGTATAAAACTGGTATGTTAATTCTGTTTCTGTGGAGGAAATTTTATTACTATCTGAAATCTTACTATTATTTGCTTTGTTTTCTTTACTCTACTATAGAATGCTTCATCAATATGCTTGAGATTTTGATGAGCTGAGAGATAACAGGAAGTATATTTAATGTGTGTGTGTGTGCAAGACAAGTGTGAGATGAGAAATGCTATTTTATTCTTAGGTTCTAAGAAAATAATTTGCATTAAATACTTAGAAACGCATCTAGGGGACATAGTTGGATATCTTAAATGGACACATATCTTGAGTGGGCATTATGATTGTATTAGATAGAAGCATCCTGATTTGATGAAGGTATAAATGTTGAGTCATGGTTTTCCTCTTTGTCGCACTCTGCAGCCAACCTGTAAGACTGTTGACCTTTCTTGCAAGAAATAAATATTCAAAAGATTTTCTGCCTCTTGCCTTATTGAAATAGAAAATTGCCGCAACAGCTTCTCAATATCTCTTTCAAATCCTACACCCATTCATTGTGATGCTTAAGGTTGAATGATATTGAATGTGAGTCATTTGGTCACCATTGTTAGTACGTCTTTAGTGTTCGTGTTTTTAACAGTGTTGGAGGTCAAATACAGGTAATATCCAGCTTTACTCATGACTCATGTAATAATCGGTGAATGACTTCACAGGGTCACATCCATTTTCACACGTTTCCGGCAAACATGGACCCGGAAATGACTCTGTGAATGCCCAGCATTGTCCTGCTATCAGTTGCAACCACTCAGCTTCCTCCCATGCATGCCTATAGGACCATGGATTCGTGCTGAGCCACAAACAGAAGTCTTATTGAGAAAAGCAAATTGTGATCATCATTCATCACAATTACATTT